TGCTTTTATCACGTTCTGTGTTGATTGTAGCTAGGAACTACTTTAATCATGTTCTGTGTTGATTACAGCTAGGAACTGCTTTTATCACGTTCTGTGTTGATTGTAGCTAAGAACTACTTTAATCATGTTCTGTGTTGATTACAGCTAGGAACTACTTTTATCATGTTCTGTGTTGATTGTAGCTAGGAACTACTTTAATCATGTTCTGTGTTGATTACAGCTAGGAACTACTTTTATCATGTTCTGTATTGATTGTAGCTGTGAACTACTTTAATCACGTTCTGTGTTGATTGAAGCTAGGAACTACTTTAATCACATTCTGTGTTGATTGAAGCTAGGAACTGCTTTTACCAAGTTCTGTGTTGATTGAAGCTAGGAACTACTTTAATCATGTTTAATACTGTTCGTAGCTATGAACTACTTTAATCACGTTCTGAACTGATTGAAGCTAGGAGCTATTTTAATTGTGTTAGTCTGCAATAAATTTCGAAAATAATACTTATGAAAGGTTTAAACACTTTTACTTGTTTCGACAGCAATACGATTATGCCTGACAATTTACTAAAATTGTAGCTATTGATTTCTGTTAATAAAAAATTGGGATAGAAATTTTCAAGAATTAAAAATTTTATTATCTTTACTTATGTGAATAGAAATTAAAACATTCAACAAATGTAGTTAATGATATATGAATATATATGGTGGTGAAAAATTAATAGTATTTGTTGAAACAGAAAGATAGAGATATTTTGTTAAAACAGAATCATAAAGTGAAACTGACAGAAAGATTTGATGACTGAAATAATAATATGATATATCAATAAAACTATATACTGTTTATCAGAATAAACATATGAATTATTGAATATCAAAAAATAATTACATTTGAATTATAATAAAAACATTATGGACTTGAATTCAGTCTAACACGAGTTCATACATTCCACTGTACTTTTTAATGTATTATCAGCACCAACAATAATCAATATATTAAACAAAATTACAATTAATATTTAATATTGATACTTACACTGAATATAATCTTGAAGCTGCTGAAACTCAGCTGGTGATAGCTTTTCCCATTTTAATGTCATCATTTGAAATCTTTTGTTTTAAATCAATAACAACAAGAAACGGCAATACCAAATTAGAGGGCGCTGTGATCGCAATAGGTAATGCTTGTACTTGATCCCACAAAGGCTCAAAACTGTACTTGTTATATAGTCACTTCTAAAAGCCATCACCTAGACATAAAAAAAGAAAAACATAGGAAAGTAAAATTTTTAGAACTTTCTTTCTGTAGTTTAAAAACCTCTTTTTTGTTTATATTGAAATAAAACGCTTAAGAACAAAATCTTAATCATATTGTAAACAATAGCAGAATTTTAACAATAGATGGTTTTATTGCATGATAATTTGTGTTCTCTTTGCTTTCATATTTAAGAAATTACAAAGAGATAGATTTTAATCATTCTATTATTGTTTTACAATAATCTGTATGGGATAAATAGGTGATAACTTGATTACTTATTCTTTGATATTATTTAGGTTTGATATATTGCTATATCTCACATTATTAGTCGTGTTTGTTTAAATAAGATATTAAGTTGTCAAATTAAAACTTCTAATGTCAATTAATATTTCCATTTGGTAGAAGTATTTTCAAAACTAGATATTGTTAAACTACCGACCAAAAATCTTCGTGATTCAGACGTGCGTGGTATTGAAATACTTACAGCATTATTATTAGATAATAATGTTAAAAAAAAGAATAAAAATTCGAAACAGAAAATTATCAATAAAAAAAGATCAAAACTACGAAAGGATAAAAATGCTGAATAAGAACAAAAAAGGCAATCAGAGAGGAGACCTTAATGACAGTAAACAAAGGTGAAAGATAAAAGACAGAATCCTAGAAAACGAAGCAAGACATGAATGTTTAAAGAGCAGAAATAGAAACTTCAAGTCTTCCTCGGTTCTCTTAGAGTCTTCTTATGAAAAATACTAATTATTTTTAAATATGTGTAAATTAACTTTTTTAATTCGCCATTACTTTTAACTGTAATTTTGTGCCCTATAATTTTTAGTAAAGTGGGGTGGAAGACACTCTGTATCGCTCAGTGTGACTACGTAGCACTCCAGTGGTATTTGTTTTTTTCCTGCGTGATGAGAAACTTCTATATTTTTATAGACTTTCTTCATGTTTATTTTAGTTATTTTCATTTAATTTCTTCTTTTTTGTTTGCCAAAAGCTGCTTAAGACACTTTATATGTTAAACAAATTATACAATAAAAGGCAAACAGAAGAAGAAGCAGTCATTATGATAGGGCAAATTATATATTTAATTATGGAGTATACAGTACTATGTTGTCTGTCAGTCAGTCAGTAGACACTAAATGACGTCATTTAAGGGACACTTAACGTTGCAATTTGTACTGTCGTGACATCAGTAAAACGTACGCATGCTATAAATCACAGGAAGAATTACGCACTCTGGAGGCTACAACACAGCATGACACACGAGCTTCAAAAGCAAGAAATTAAAATATTTATAACTCTTAATTTTGGTTTTATTTACTATTGAAACAGAATACTTCCGGGGACCCTGCGGAAGTACATCTAGTTATAATTATGATATTTTCATATTTAACAAAACACTCATTCAGTTTTCAAAGTGTGTAACAAGTAGGTGTGTATAATGGAACATTTACAAATATATATTTTCGTAGGTAACTTTAGCACACTTGTAACACATCTCACACAGAATAAAACGAAAGATTTTTAGCAACTAAGTAGTTTTCTGTTGGAAAAAGGACACTATTATCGAAGTTGCCATTCATTGGAGTCCATTCACTTTTATAATTAGAGAAGTACAATGAAAAAAAAATGTTTATACTTGATTAAAGGAGCACACATATACCTTGAAAAGATTATTAAACGACAACACTAGATAGAATGATACGTTTCGCTTACTTACAAAACTAATGTTAGAGTTTACGTAGGTTGTATGGAAGAATTCTGTCACCCCTCCTCTAAGAAGTATTCTATTGTACATTATTTAGTCAAATGTATAGTGAAACACAGTAGGTGATCTTATAAACAAGTGACCACTTTAAAATTTAGTCTATGATTATTTTCAAGATAATCTTTGTGGACTAATTTTACATATTTCAAGGGTTTGGTGGGCTATATTATCAAAATTTTGGGTGCGTATCAAGAATATATATAAATATTTCACTATAAGTACGTATGAGCATTTAAGTTTACTTAAGAGGGGGATAAATGCATGTATTCTTGTTAGTAGTAACCGCTGTTCGTTATCAAAATAATACGTCTTTGTTTGTTTGTTGAATTACGCGCAAAGTGGGATTAACTGTAACATTATAATGCACTGTGACTAAAAGGGCGAGCATGTTAGATGATGGTACTCAAACCTCCGACCCGCAGATTGCAAGTCAAACTTCCCAATTACCAGGACATGCCAGGCCCCAAAATAATAAACCATATCTGTTCATAAATGAAATTGTATTCAAGTATCTCAAAATGCAGGTCCCAAAAATGCCGTGAAGAAAATAAAAAATAATGTGTGCAGCAAAGAAGCAAAAATACACAAACATTCTGATAACATAAAAATATTTATTCGTAGAAGAATGGATGTAAGTTTCACTTACTTGTCGGTAAATTGAACAGAGAGAAAGCCTAGAATACTTCTGTGTAGTACAAAGAGGGAATCAGTTATGAAGTACTACACTGTTAATTCATATCAAGGTCTTAGTGTGGTATCCTACAATCCTTAGATTACCTACATTAACAGCCATTCTAAATGAGCATATTCAAGAGAGATAATCCCAAACTTGTACAAGTCTCTGTTTCACCCCGTGAATTCAGCATAGCCTCATTCCAGAGAGTTAACACATAAACAAGCTCAAGCAGGTATAATATATGTAGAATAAGCTTTGCAGTATGTAAAGTATACAATTGGTGCAAATGTGCGATCTCTGTACATTCAGATTACCAGGAAGATGCTAACTATATGCAGAACACAGTATGTGCATAATATACCTGATAAATATATAAATTTTTAACGCTACTTATAGTAGAGTAATATTATCAGTTCCTATTAACTGTTACAGTTATAGCTCAGAATTAAACGACATGACAATATTTGACTATATAATATCTCAGTACACAAGTATATTATTATACAATGATATTTAAAAAATACCGCATTTCCTTTTCTTATAGGTTACTATAGCAAACATTTTCTTGATTGTAAAGTGTAAAGAAAATTGTATTTACCTGCATTGGTGCAAGTGTGTTAATGTATAGTGGGGAGGTAACCAGCTTTGAACTGTGTTGAGTTTATTATAAAGCCAGTCTAACAATGGCATAGTAATTTCTACGTGGTATTTCTAATTCCATGGATAGTGTTTCTGGAAAATATTTTAAGCTTGTTCGAATAGATATTTTGTTACATCAGTCATGTAAAGGTATAGAACCACTTAGGAATCTGTCTTCGACTTTTCTTTTAATACGAGAAAACAGGTGATGTTGGTGACAAATACACTCTGGTGAAATTTACCTTATTTCTATTTGCATATAGTGGTTAAGTCTCACAGTATGTCAGGTAAATAAGCTCTGATACAAGAGAACAGTTAGATTAAAGTATTCAGTTGTTTTAAATTTTTGGGCACATGTCTATTGACTGAGCATTAGTCTTTTGTTTCATGTCTTGTGATTGTTAATAACTGAAGACTTTTGCCCATTTATACTATTTAAAGACTTTACATTGAGAACAGAATTCATCACTGGATCTTAGAATATAGTATAGTCTAAAATTTTTTACTGTGTTCTGGTTTTTGCTGCTAAAGACAAAAACCATGCAAACAACATCGTTCCAGTTACAGGTTTATAAAGAAGAATTACAGTCTAGAACTTCTCAAGCTGATGAATCATTTCTATTTCTGAACGTGAACTTCAGCTAACAGAGAGCAAAGGCAACTAAAGGCTTCTATAATGACCTGCAGTTTGGGGTATTAAAATAGAGCGGGTTTTTGTCCATTAGTAGAGGTTGAGTCCCACAACTTGTCATTGTTACCTATGGTCAGAAGGGAATGAGAGGATAAATTCTATCAATGAGAATAGTCTCGCCATCAGGATAGACAGAAAGTGCTGCTAAGAAGAGCTGGCAATCTTTGAAGCAGACAGGTAAGCTGTTAGAAGAACTAAGATTAGTTTGGAGAATTGAAGTCATGTGGAGAATGTTTGTTATAACTACATGACCTTCTGCTGACCAAACACTGGGACCATGCATTCATACGAACAATGAAGTATCTGGGCACCAGCACAAGTCAGAATCTATAACATTGTGGTTTTCTCAGCCATGTGGTGGCCAATACAATCTCTAGAAGTAATCTCTTCATGCAGCCTTAAATCAGTGATGATGAAGTAAAGTAGATAATGTTATCAACGTTTAAGAAGACAACTAAGTAAGATCCGAACCTTTTCCTTCAACAACATTTTAGGAAGGTGTTTTTCTGGGTTTATACTCCATTATGGAACTATTACCAGTCCCATGCCCATTTAAATTGGAGAGGGATGGAATAGAGCTAAGAACTCTATTTCGTTAAAGTTTACTTGTTAATGAATCTCAAATGGAGTTTCGGACTGATGAACCATTTGTTGACGATATAATGTTGTTGCAGAGGATGTCTTAAATATTGGTATAGAAGGTAGAGAATGGTCAATGGTTGTACAGGACAGGGAGGGTAGAAAGGCTTCGTAAGAGTAGCCAGGGGTTAACAGGCCCGTGTGCTATATAAATATTATTGAATCTGAAAAGCCCAACTGTTTGATGTAATTTAACATTTGGGGGGAAAACGACTTATTGACTGGGGCACAGTTGTAGCCAAGTTACACCATTCTTTCATCCTAAGAACTGAACTTTGTATGGTTCATACTCAACATTCAAAAGTAAGAAATCTAAGAGGTTTAGGAAGTGGATATACTTTAGATTCTTGCGTTCACGAATATTGTACAGCCTTGGAAAATTGGCGGGAGTTTCGCCACACGTAACTAACACGGTAAGCTAGGCACGTTTTTAGACATAAATTCAATCCCAACAAACGTTGTCATTGAAATAAGTATATAACAAATTTGTTACACACAATACATATCTGACACTATAAGTTACACATATTTTAAAATATAAATTTAATCTAAACAACGTTCATATTAAAAATA